AATTGGGGGTTTAGGGGGGAAGAAAAGGGGCCCCTTTAAATTGGGGGTAGTGGGGAAGGGAAAGTTCCTTTTCATTTGGGGGCCCGTGGGAAAATTGGGTTTCCCCAATTGGGGGTAAGTGGGAAGAATGTCCCCCAAATTTGGGGGGCAGTGGGAAAAAAGTTCCCTCAATTGGGGGGTAGTTTTAAAAATGTCCCTTCATTTTTTTGGGGGGGATTGGGAAGAAAAACCCTCCAGGGGGTCAATGGGAAGTGTCCCCCCAAGGGGGGGCAGTGGGAAGAATGTCCCTTAATTGGGGGTCAGTGGGGGGAAAAAACCCTTTTATTAGGGGCAGGGGGAAAAAATTTTCCCTAAAAATTTTGGGGTCAGTTTTGGGAAAAAAATTTTAATTGGGGGGTCAGTGGGAAAAATGTTTAACATTGGTTCCGTGGGTAAAATTTTAAAACTTTTGGAATTTTTGACCAATGAAAGTTTTATCCAAAAATGGGGGGTCGGAATTGGGCCCTTTGGGGTCAGGGTTTCCCTTTTTTAGAGGGGGAAGTCAAAAATCCAAAAAGCCCCCAGAAAAACCCCCGGGGAACCCCAAAATTTTACACAACCCCCGGGTTTAGAAGGGGGTGGCCCAAAATAAAAGGGGTTTTTAAATTTCAGATAGAAAATAAATTTTTAAAAATAAAACATTTCCCCTTTAAAGCCCCCCAATTTTTTTAAATTTGAAAGGGGGCTTTCGAACCCCCCACCGCCGAAAAAATCAATAGGGCCATTTAATTTTAGGCAACGATTGGGGGGGACAAATTTTTTGATTTGTTTTATGGTAGGTTCTTTTTAAAACCCTTTGGAGTTCATTTTGTTTATTATAGGGCAACCCGAGGAGCTTTAAATTTTTCAGATCAGCAGGGCCACCCCTTTTCTCTTGATACCCGAAAGTAAATGTCCCCAAAAACCGGATTTAAAAATTTAGATTCAATGAAAAAAATAGAAAGGCGAGATTCCTTTGGCGAAACCCGAAGATAACAATCAATAGAACATGAAAAGCATATCATCTTCCCCTTCCCAATGGCCCGGATCTTTTCTTTACCCCCCTCCCGTGGCCCGTAAATTATTTACCTTCCCCCCAGTGGCCCCAAATTTTTTTTTACCCTTTTTCCCGTGGCCTTTTATTCCCCTTTTTTCACCTTATCTTGGGGGCCCCGTAATTTTTTACTTCATCTTCTCCCGTTTTAATACCCCATTTCACCCCCCTCCCGTTCCCTTTTTCTCCTTCTTTTTTCCCTCCAGTGGCCTTATCTCCCTTTTACCCCCTCTCCAAATGTCCCGTACGTTACTTCATCTTCCGGGGGCCTGTTTTTTACTTACCTCCTTTTCCCGTGGCCCGTATTCCTATCTTCCCTTTCGGTGGGATTTAACATTATTTTCACCTCCCCTCCCGTGGCCTTTTATCTCTACCTTCCAAATTTCCCGTGGCCGTATTCCCTTTTCCCTTCTCCGTGGGTGTATCTCCTATCTTTACCCCCTTTCCCGTGGCCTGGGTTTTTATAATCTTCTATCTTCACCTCCTCCTCCCGTGGCCTGTATCTCCGATCTTCACTCTCCTCTCCGTGGCCTGTATCTCCTATCTTCACCTCCTCTCCAGTGGGCCTGTATTCTCCTATCTTCACCTCCTCTCCCGTGGCCTGTATTCTCCTATCTTCACTCATCTCCAGTGGCCTGTATCTCCTATCTTCACCTCCTCTCCAGTGGCCTGTATCTCCTTTTCACCTCCTCTCCAGTGGTCTGGTATTCCTATCTTCACCTCCTCTCCAGGGCCTGTATCTTCTATCTTCACCTCCTCTCCAGGGGCCTGTATTCTTCTATCTTCAACTCTCTCAGTGCCTGTATATCTATCTTCACCTCCTCTCCAGTGGCCTGTATCTCCTATCTTCACCTCCTCTCAGTGGCCGTATCTCCTGATCTTCACCTCATCTCCAAGTGGCCTGTATCTCCTATCTTCACCTCCTCTCCAGTGTGCCTGTATCTCCTATCCTTCACCTCCTCTCAGTGGCCTGTTTCTCTAACTTCAACCTCTCTCCAGTGGCTGTATACTCCTATCTTCAACTCCTCTCCAGTGGCCTGTATCTCTTCTCTTCAACACTCCTATCCAGTGGACCCTGTATCTCATATCGTCACCTTTCTCCAGTAACCTGTATCTCCTATCTTCACCTCATCTCCAGTGGCCGTTATCTCCTATCTTACCTCCTCTCCAGTGGCCCCGTATCTCTATCTCACCTCCTCTCCAGTGGCCACTGGAGAGGAGGTGAAGATAGGAGATACGGGCCACTGGAGAGGAGGTGAAGATAGGAGATACAGGCCACTGGAGAGAGGTGAACTGATAGGAGATTACAGGCCACTGGAGAGGAGGTGAAGATATGAGATACAGGCCACTGGAGAGGAGGTGAAAGATAGAGAGATACAGGGCCACTGGAGAGGAGGTGAAGATAGGAGATACAGGCCACTGAGAGGAGGAGAGGAGGTGAAGATAGGAGATACAGGAACAGGCCACTGGAGAGGAGGTGAAGATAGGAGATACAGGCCACTGGAGAGGAGGTGAAAGATAGGAGATACAGGCCACTGGAGAGGAGGTGAAGATAGGAGATACAGGCCACTGGAGAGGAGGTGAAGATAGGAGATACAGGCCACTGGAGAGGAGGTGAAGATAGAGATACAGGCCACTGGACGAGGAGGTGAAGATAGGAGATACAGGCCACTGGAGAGTGGATAGGGTGAAGGATAGAGAGAGACAGGCCACTGGAGAGGAGGTGAAGATAGGAGATACAGGCCACTGGAGAGGAGGTGAAGATAGGAGATACAGGCCACTGGAGAGGAGGTGAAGATAGGAGATACAGGCCACGGGAGAGGAGGTGTGAAGATAGGAGATACGGGCCACTGGAGAGGAGGTGAAGATAGGAGATACAGGCCACGGGAAGAGGAGGTGAAGATAGGAGATACAGGCCACGGGAGAGGAGTGAAGATAGAAGATACAGGCACTGGAGAGGAGGTGAAGATAGGAGATATCAGGCCACTGGAGAGGAGGTGAAGATAGGAGATACAGGCCACTGGAGAGGAGGTGAAGTAGGAGATACAGGCCACTGGAGAGGAGGTGAAGATAGATGATAAATGCCACTGGAGAGGAGGTGAAGATAGGAGATACAGGCCACTGGAGAGGAGGTGAAGATAGAAGATACAGGCCACTGGAGAGGAGGTGAAGATAGACGTACAGGACACTGGAGAGGAGGTGAAGATAGAGATACAGGCCACTGGAGAGGAGGATGAAGATAGCGAGATACAGGGCCCCACTGGAGAGGAGGTGAAGATAGGAGATACAGGCCCACTGGAGAGGAGAGCCATGAAGATGAAGATCCGATACAGGCCACTAGAGAAGGAGGTGAAGATAGGAGATACAGGCCACTGGAGAGGAGGTGAAAATAGGAGATACAGGCCACTGGAGAGGAGGTGAAGATAGATGATACAGGCCACTGGAGAGGTTCCGAGGTGAAGATAGGAGATACAGGCCATTGGAGAGGAGATGAGTATGCTATTCTATGTTCTATTGATTGTTTATGGCATGCTGGTTTCGCCAAAGGAGATCTCTGCCTTTCTATTCTTTTCATGTATGCTCAGTTTTAAATGCCGAGGTTTGTGATCGATTTACTTTCTGGTGGATCAAGAGAGATGTGTGGTTCCTGCTGATCTGAATAGCTTTATAGCTCGTCTCTGGGATATGTCTATGACTAAATACTAAAGCTGATCTCCATGAAGGTGTTAAAAAAGCAGGCCCATCCATCCCCCAAACGGAAAATTCTACCAAAATGTCCACCAATCGTTGCCTAAATTCACAATCATGGACAGCCTGGATCCTGTATGTGCTTTCTGCTGGTGTGTGGTGCTCGAAAGTTCCTCTTCAAATGTCCATGTGGACCCCTGGTGATGTGGATGTTCCTATTGCCTTTTAGAGTCCATTATCTATCTGTAATTGATCATCACACCATTTATCTTGGCCAGCCCTTTCTCAACCAGGGTTGTGTGAAATCCTAGGGTTCCTCCAGAGGTTTCTAGGGGCTTCTTGCAGACTGAGCAATTTCTGCCATCTCAAAAATGGAAGCCCTGGACACCAATGGCATTCTGCACCACCATTGTAAGGAGTATACTTTTCATTGGTCACAAATGCAAGTATGATTACATTTACCCAACAGGCCACCAATGTTATACTTCCTTCACCCCCAGATGGTCTCACAAATGACCCCAAGGAACCCTAATGATAATGGACATTTTACCACTACCCTAATAGGTAGGGCCACCACCAAGGGTCATTCTTACTGACCCCCAGTGAAGGGACATTCTTTCCACTTTGACCCCCCAATGTAAGGGACATTTTCCCACTGACCCCTAATGTAAGGACATTTCTTCCCACTGACCCCCAATGTGAGGACATTCTTCCCACTGACCACCAACGTGAGACATTTCTTCCCACTGACCCGTACGTGAAGGACATTCTCCCACTGACCCCAAAACATTCTTCCCACTGACCCCTATCCGTATAAGGGACTCATTCTTTCTGGCACCCCCACTGAGGGACCACCAATGTAAGGGACATTTTCCCACTGACCCCCAATGTGAGGGACATTCTTCCCATTGACCACCAATTGTGAGGGACATTCTTCCCACTGACCCCCCAAAGTGACATTCTTTCCCAGCTGATGTAAGGGACATTCTTCCCACTGGACCCCCAATGTGAGGGACATTTTCCCACTGACCCCCAATGACATGAGGGACATGCTTTCTTCCCACTGACCCCCAATGGCCACCAAGTGTAAGGGACATTCTTCCCACTGGCCACCAATGTAAGGACCACATCCCACTATCTTACATTCTTCCCACTGACCCCCAATGTAAGGGAAATTGCTCCCCATTCTTCCACTAAGGAACCCCAATGTATAGGGCCATATCTTCCCACTGACCACCAATGTAAGGGGCAATTCTTCCCACTGACCCCCAATGTAAGGGACATTCTTCCCACTGACCACCAATGTAAGCTCCAATTCTCTTGCCACTGACCGCCCCAGAATGGAGCTCATTCTTCCCACTGACCCCCAATGTAAGGGCCATTCTTTCCCAATTTTTCTTTATTAAAAGTCTCGCAATGTATGGGAATTCATTCCCACTCAATAAACATTAGCTCCCAAAAATATTCAATACATAAAGCATTATACAGAATATAAAAAAATTATATATATTTACAGCAAAACGAAAAAATAAAACATAGCAAAATCTGCTGTCAGACAAAAGCAAACGTCTCAGAAATGAAAACATGACATAATTGGGGAAATAAATCGTACTACCACTCACATCACTACACCAGACATCAAACCTGTGAGGTCAAGAAACCACCCCCCCCCCCTTATGCATTGCAGCCCTTCTTCAAAAAAGATCTTAATCAAACAAAAACTACGGGAGTGTAAAAGAAACAGTATAAGGATAGACCCCTCACCCAGAGATGGACAGTTCACCAAAGGAAGGTCTGATATTCCTCCACGCCCTTATCCAGACCGCCCGAGGCTTCCTGCCCTTCTCAAGACCCCGAATCTTCCCAACCTCACCCAGAATATCGTGCACCACCACCTCTACAGGGAGGACTTTTCTTCCGGATGGTAATCTGACACGGTGCGTTCCATGTGAAGTAACGGACAACTATACTAACTAGAAAAAGTGTATCCAAATCAAAGTCCCAGATGAGCTGGGAATGCCCGTACGCACCCACTCTGCATAACTCATGCGATAGAGAAAGGGGATGCCCAGAAGGAACCCTCCCCACCCTTTTATACACCTCTATGTTAAAGGGACACAGGAGCAGAAAGTGGTCCATAGACTCCACTTACCAACACACTCTGCTCTAGGACAATCTCGATCATCCACAGGGCGGTGCTTCAGTTCCCTCTCACATAGAGCCTTCCATGGAAAGCGAGCCAGGCTTGATCCCTAAACTTCAAAGGAATTCTCTCCAAGTTAATTAAACGCAATCCCTCCCTCATTTACGGAGCCTGGCAATCCTTTAAGGCCAGTGACACGACTGAAAGCAGAAGCCAAAATCCTCTCCCCCAGAAGCTTCCTGGGAAGGGACCTGATATCCTCCACTGTCACCTGCCACTGCCGAAGTATTTTCAGACACGGGGCAACATAAGCCGGAAGCTTGCCATGTCGGACTCTCAGACTTTTCACTGGGGCCGCCATCTTCCCAGCAATGCAGAAAAGGCCTAAACCAAGACTGAAAAATAACCACCCATCCGGCGGGGTCTCTGCTAAACATATTACCAAGATTGTACTTTTAAAAGAGCAAAGAAAAGAAAACTATCGGGTTGACCATTCCTAGGCCACCCTCACGCCGTCCTGGACAGGTAAGTTACATTGCGTTTGATCAAGGTTCAGCCTGTTTCCCCATAACAGTTGGAAAAAAAAACAGCTGTAGACCCTTGCATAGAGAGATACCGGCAAGATACAGACGAAGCTGACATATAAAAAGATCGGGATCAGGTAAAGTTTTGATCAAGTCAACCCTCTCTCTCAAGGAAAGCCTCCATCTCTTCCAGCTTGCTACTTTTGGCATTGGCAACTACCAACCTGCTTTCCCAGTTTCGATGACCATAGTCACCAGGACCAAATTTGATGCCCAAAATTTTAATTTCCTGCTGGGGCTCTGGGAAGGCATCCGGAAGTTCGAAGCTTTCACCCTCTCACCCATCCAGAAAACTTCACTCTTTTCATGGTTGACTTTAGAGCCAGAAGCCTCGTGTACTGCTCTATCACAGAGACCACCTCCTGCGCCTCCTCAGTCCCAGAGATAATAACAGACACATCATCTAGCATAGGCAACGACCTTCAAAGGCGGCACACCAGCAATGCCCAGAGGCACCCCGCACAACGATGCACCCTCTAGCCTTCTTACAAAGGGGTCGATTGCGAAAGCATATATAGCAGGGGGCTCAAAGGACATCCCTGGCGCACACCAGAGCCGACCTCAAAAGGCCGCCCAACCCAACCATTAACAAGTGGGAAGCTCTCAGCCCCTTTATATAATGTCTTCAGCCAATCTATAAACCTCCCCTGCAGGCCGTATCTACCAAGCAGCAACCACAGATATTCATGATTCACTCGATCATTGCCTGCCTGATCCAATGCCAGCAAGTACATTTCTCCATCCAGAAGCCCTGCATCGTTCCAAAGCCTCCCGGATAGCCAAAACTGCTGAAAAGGTACTTCTACCTTGGACCGAACAGTGCTGATGGCTGGACAACAAATCGCCTGCTACTGACGACAAGCGCCAAAAAAGAATCTTTGCCAAGATCTTTCTATCAACATTGAGAAGACTGATGGGGCGCCAGTTCTCAATCATTGAGGGGTCTTTACCTTTTGACAGAAGAATCAACATCACAGCGGATTGCCTCATGGAGGGAGGGAGCGAACCCTCTTCTAGACAGCTGTTAAAAACCTCCGCTAAAAAGGGAGCCAGAATGGACTTAAAACACTTGTAAAATTCAGCTGTCAATCCATCTGGCCCAGGCGATTTTTTGGTAGCCCAGCTTGTCTATAGCATGAACTACCTCATCTGCTGAAATTGGTTCTGTCAAATTCATCAAAAACAATGCACCATTTCCCAATCCTGGAGTAGAATCCAGAAAGCTTTCCATCCTGTCCCGGCTAAGGTCCTTTTCTTCCCAGGAGGTCTGCATAATACGACCCAAAGATCTCCAAGATCCCTGATCGGGACTTTATCAGGAACCTGTACTGTCTTTCAGGCCAATGACCGTCTTAACTGCTATGCCTTGCTTACAGTTCTGGTAAGGATCAGGTGAGTGATATTTCCCCATAATCCCCTCTCCCAGAACCAAGGAGGCATGCCGGTCATATTGACACTTCCTAAGAAGAAGCTTCACTTCAGAGATCTCCCCTGGATCTCCTCCATACGAGACAAGACGATCAACCTCCATCTCTTCCCTCCGCAAATGCTGGTAGGCAATATACATACCAAGCTGCTTCTTCTTACTTATGGCCTTGAAAAGTCCAATCGCCCTTTGTTTTCACAAGCTCCCACCACTCTGACTTACTGCTGCAAAAGTCCAGAATAGAAACCTGTGCCTGAAAAAAATCCTCAAAGGATTGTCTTACCTCTACATCTTCCAGGAGCCGAATTCAGTTTCCAGACACCCCTTCCCCTGGGTGGAGTGTCCGAGGCATTCAGAGTCACAGACAGCATACAGTGGTCAGAGAACTCCACCACCTTCAACTCAGGAGCCGAGAAAGCAGAGTTCTCCTTCAAAAAAAAAACCTGTCTATTCCTGCTCTGAAATGTGAACCCCGTGCTGCCAGGGCAGTGCTTAATGTGCACATCTACCAGGCCTGCCTGTCTAACCAAAAATTTCTGAGAAAAACGCTATCATAACCCAGCCTGTCTATGGAGCTCTCCTGTCTTCAGGCCTAATTATGGTGTTAAAGTCACCTCCAAAGACAACCTGCTGGGACGTAAAAAGGAAGGGCTTGATCTTTGTGAGGAGGCATTTCCTGCCCCATTTTGACTGCGGTCCATAGATATGATGATCAGGCGCAGGTACTTTCCTGCCCCCCAACAGAGACGTCTAAGACCATGCATCTCCCCATTTCTACCTCAATTACCCGCCGGCACGTTACCATATCGGTTTTAAAAAGGACCGCAACTCCGCTGCAAGGTTCAGCCGCAAGAGACCAAAAGGAGGGACCACAATCTCCACTCCCTTTTTGCTAGATAGACATCGGCCAATGTATTGAGCCAGGTCTCTTGCAAAAATAAAATCTCAGCATCAAACTCGCTGAGCAAAAATAAGGCCGTATCACGAGCTCTTGCAGATTTAATGCTGGCGACATTAATGGTCGCCACCTTTAACAGAGTGGGAACTGCCATCAGGATGATTGGGGTAGTCGTTTCTTAACCTCTACCACACTCTCATCACCCGAAACAGCTCTCTTCAGAGTATGTGACTCCCCTCATCCATAGATGATAGAGAAATGGATATATCAGATACCATCTCATCACCTGACAAAACTGAAAAAGTATTGCCAAGAGGGACCCCCCCTCCTGGATCTGATTCTGAGGAAGAGAGGACAGCTCTTCTCATCCTCCTCTTCTTCTTCTTCCTTCTTCTCCTTCACCCTCTCCACTCCCACCCCTCATCAGCCGAATCCCCCCCAGCAGGAGGTGAGACATGGGACATGGATACCCCTCCCTGAGCCCCATCGGCTCCACCCCCATCCGCACACCCCCACAACCTCCTGACCACGTTTGCCGCTGACGGGGGACAGGTACCGGAGGTGGAGTAGGCCGAGAGGGAAGATCCACTAAACCAGCCCCCCAGCAGCTTCCGCCAGTCTGGAGGATCTACGTACCTGTAGGAACAGGGAGGGACAGACTCAGGGGTGACATTACTGGGGGAAACACAATCTGACACAACAGACGGAACAGACACAGGAGGTACAGCTACAGTTTCCTCCCTAGCATCAGCTGCCTCATCCTCTTTATCCAGCCTCTGCAGCTCAGCCTCCAGTCCTGGCAGGTTGTGTAGTGCCTCTGGGCACAGGACTGTATGGATGACCCAGCTGCTGGCACAAATTACACCGAATCTCGGTGCATTCTTTGGCCAAATGGCCAAAATCCTGGCACAGTGAGCACTTCTGATGGTGCAGGACGATGCAAAATGGTCCCCCCCCCCCCTTTCTCTCCGCATTTGTTACAACTTTAGGCTGACCTTGATAGAAAATGGTCAGCCTATCCCTCCCCAGAAAGGCTGAGCAGGGAAGATGCTGAACCACATTGCCCAGCACCCTCAATTGCACTGACACCGTCCAGGCCCCTGTCCATATCCTATGCTCATCCAGGACCTTCCGCAGTGGGGTGAGGACCTCACCATGTCGGCGTAGCCAAACTACCAAAATCAGCCTCTGGTATGGATTCATTCCGGACCAGGATTGTCACCGATTTTATCAAAGGCTGTCTGGAAACCACCTTTGCCACCAAACCTTTCCACTGCTGAAGGCTCCTGCACCTCCAATATCTCTCCCAAAACAGGGTCCAGGCCTTCAGGTTTTACAAAGGACAAATCGTATTCATAGCTGCCGACTGGGCAGATCAACGCAAACACATCACAGGCTTTAAACCCCATCTCTAGAATCAACTCCGCCACCCTCCCCCTTACTGGTGGGTTCCCTTCCCCCTCCCACTTCAACTGTACCACATTCCTTCTCCTGACCCACCAACCATCCCACCACCAAACCTCCCCAAATTGTGACCATTAGTATTCCCAACACTACCCCACCCCACCCCCCTTGGTGCGACTCCCCAAAACAGAGGCATAGCTCCCCCAATCCTCCCAGCAGCAGAAATATTTGTGTGTCTGGGAGCGTCTGGTGCAACTCTAGCAGATACCGATTGCACAGATCCGGGATTGGATGGTGTATCCTCTCTCTGCTCAGCAGGGGGAGAAATGTCATTTTTTAGTCTTATCAGCAATGTTAACCCCTTCACCTCCACCCACCACCAACACATCCATTGCTTTACCAGTCTCAACAGTCATAGACTTCACAGCAATGTCCGCACTCACTGCTGCAAACCATAGAAGCTCCAGCAGTCATCTCTTGCATCCAAGAAAGGACACTCAGCCCAGGACTGGATTGGATTCTCAGACACAGCAACAAGTGAGACATCCATGTGTGCTGTTTGCTCTCCACATGGTGCAGTGTGCTGCTCCCCTCCCCCACCAGCATCAATCAGCTCTGGAGCACCTGGGAGCTCAGGTGAAACAGTCTCTCTGCAGGGGGCAGCCATCTTGCCTGTAGAGGGACTACTGGTCTCAGCAGGAACAGCAGCAACAATTTCCATCTGTGGGGTGCTTGGTGCAGGTTCATCCACATTCCCCTGATGGTCTGGAGACCTCTCTGCCAGGGATTTTTCCTCCAGGTTGGCTGAGGATTCCTCCACAGCAGGCTGCTTGCAGAGCTCCTCATCCACAGTACTCACCACAGCAGGTGGGGCAGACATGCTGGAAGCAGCCATGTTTGTGTGTACTGGGATCTCTCCACCAGTCTTGGCTTTGCTGCTCTGAAACCTCCTCTGTCCATCCTTCAGGGACTTCTGCAGGGTCATCAGTGAAGGCAAACTTGTCTGCTCTCAGGGGTGACTCCATGTGCTGGATGAACCTCAAGGTTCCATACTCACCCTCAACCCCCTGGCTGGTTGCCACTGGTGATTCCACAGCCTGACATGGGGGGAGAGACGCTGATGTAGATGGAGCCGGGTCATCCATTACCTGAGGCTGCTGATCCACAGAGCTCACTGATGTCTGGCTGGCAAATCTCCTCTCATTATCAACTTTTCTTTAAATGCACCACTTCTAGCTTTTCAGCTTTTCTAATAATAAAGATTGTCTCTTTACTTTGTCCTCCATGTGCTGGAGCTGGCTTCATGCCCAATCTGTTCTTGCTCCAGGCCTGGCAGTATTTGGCTCTGAAGGATTTGTGTTCAGATTCACATGCTAAAACATTAAGTTTCTCCTCAGCTCTTCCAATAGTCCAGCAATCTATCAGTAATCTTCTGTCTGAAGACATTGACATCCTCACCAGGGCCAGGGGACCCACAGTCAGGTCCTCCACCTCCTCCTCTTCACTAGGCCCGGTCTCATCATCAGGGAATCCCTCCCAGGGCCTCCCCCTGGATCAGGCATGGTTTCTGGCCAAGCTAGCAGGCAAGCCCAGGCTTGCAAAGGCACTGAGGCTTGATCACGGGGTAGCTCTCAGGGTCCTCCTTCAGCTGTGTGACCTCCTCTCCTAAGGAGCATTCCCACTGACCCCAATGTAAGGGACATTCTTCCACTGACCCCCAATGTAGCAGGAACATTCTTCCCACTGATCACCAATGTAAGGACATTCTTCCCACTGACTTCCCCCAACTGTAAGGGACATTCTTCCCACTGATCACCAATGTAAGGACATTCTTCCCACTGACCCCAATGTAAGGGACATTCTTCCCACTGACCCCCAATGTAAGGGCTTTCATTCTTACCCACCTCACCAAGGTAAGGACATTCTTCCCAACAGTTAAGGAACATTTCTTCCCACTGACCACCAATGTAAGGGACATTCTTCCCACTGACCACCAATGTAAGGTAACATTCTTCCCACTGATCCCCCAATGTAAGGGACATTCTCCACTGACCTCAATGTAGTGAACATTTACTCATGCACCAATGTAAGGACATCCCTTCTTCCACTGACACCAATGTAAGGGACATTCCACCAATCCCCTATCCATTGGGACATTCTTCCACACTGATCCCCCAGATGTAAGGGACATTCGGTCCCACTGACTGCACCCCAATGTAAGGTCTGGGCCCCATGTCTTCCCACTGATCCCCCAATGTAAGGGACAGCTTCCCACTGACCACCAATGTAAGGGACAATCTTCTTCCCACTGACCCCCATGTAAGGGACATCCTCTTCCCATGACCCCAATCTGTAAGGGACATTGCTTCCACTGACCCTGGCAGTATTTGGCTCTGAAGGATTTTGTGTTCACTTTCAAAACATGTAAGTTTCTCCTCAGCTCTTCCCAATAGTCACAAATCTATCAATAATCTTCTGTCTGAAGACATCGACACATCCTCACCAGGGCTGGGACCCCCAGTCAGGTCCTCCACCTCCTCCCTTCACTAGGCCCGGTCTCATCAGGGGAATCCCTTCCCAGGGCCTCCCCCTGGATCAGGCATGGTTCCTGGGCCAAGCTAGCAGGCAAGGCCCAGGCTTGTAAAAACATTCTTCTCAGGGAGAGCTCCTTCAGTGTAAGGTCCTCCTCCTTCTCCCACTGACCAACAATGTAAGGGACATTCTTCCCACTGACCCCCAATGTAAGGGACATTCTTCCCACTGACCCCCAATGTAAGGGACATTCTTCCAACTGACCCCCAATGTAAGGGACATTCTTCCCACTGATCACCAATGTAAGGGACATTCTTCCCACTGACCCCCAATGTAAGGGACGTTCTTCCCACTGACCCCCAATGTGAGGGACGTTCTTCCCACTGACCCCCAATGTGAGGGACGTTCTTCCCACTGATCACCAATGTAAGGGACATTCTTCCCACTGACCCCCAATGTAAGGGACGTTCTTCCCACTGACTCCCAATGTAAGGGACGTTCTTCCCACTGACCCCCAATGTAAGGGACGTTCTTCCCACTGATCACCAATGTAAGGGACATTCTTCCCACTGACAACCAATGTAAAGGGACATTCTTCCCACTGATCACCAATGTAAGGGACATTCTTCCCACTGATCACCAATGTAAGGGACATTCTTCACACTGACCCATGACCCCAATGTAAGGGACATTCTTCCCACTGACCCCCCAATGTAAGGGACATTCTTCCCACTGATCACCAATGTAGGGACATTCTTCCCACTGATCACCAATGTAAGGGACATTCTTCACACTGACCCCCAATGTAAGGGACATTCTTCCCACTGACCCCCAATGTAAGGGACATTCTTCCCACTGACCCCCAATGTAAGGGGCATTCTTCCCACTGACAACCAATGTAAGGGACATTCTTCCCACTGACCCCCAATGTAAGGGGCATTCCTCCCACTGACCCCCAATGTAAGGGCATTCTTCCCACTGATCACCAATGTAAGGGACATTCTTCCCACTGACCACCAATGTAAGGGACATTCTTCCCACTGACCCGTTTTTTCAGGCGGGACCCCATCGGACTATCCATTGTTTTCTATGGGGAGGTGGACATGTATCCGTTCACACCCACCTACATCTGATCCGCTCTGCTAAAAATGGACGGATGGGGGATTCGTTCCATCTAGCGGATCGGATCGAATTACAGTCGGATGTAAACAGACAGGCGGTACATATACATCTGACCACCCCATAGAAGACAGGGGGCTGTGTCTGCTCTGCACGAGCGGAGTGGACACTGACCCGTCCGCGGGGGATGAGCGGACGGATTCCCTGATGAGTAGGCAGATCTGCTTGGCGGAGTCCGCCTGTGTGAAAGGGTCCTAGCACCGGAGGAGGCTTGGAGCATCATTTTCTCCCTCTGCAACTCTTTATTGATCCGCCCCAGCTTGACGTAACAATTATATTAGCAATATCATATGCAATACATGCTGTATATGGATCCAGGATTCGGATTGGGGGGATACGGATCCAGGATTCGGATCGGGGGGGATACCGATCCAGGATTCGGATCGGGGGGATACCGATCCAGGATTCGGATCGGGGGGATACGGATCCAGGATTCGGATCGGGGGATACCGTTCCAGGATTTGGTTGGTTGGTGGCAAACTTTCTCCACCGGGGAGGGGGGGCATCCAATTTTTGTGTTGCCTAGGGCAGCACAAAACCCAAATACCCCACTGAGTATGGGGCCATTGGTTTGAACCCCAACCACAGCACCACCTGCCTGGAGTTTGCATGTTCTCCCTGTGCCTGCGTGGGTTTCCTCTGGGTACTCTGGTTTCCTCCTACACTCCAAAGACATGCTGGGAGGTGAATTGGCTCCTGTCTAAATTGGCCCTAGTATGTGTATGTATGAATGTGAGTTAGGGACCTTAGATTGTACGCTCCTCGGGGGGGGCGGGGACTGATGTGAATGTACACTATATATGTAAAGCGCGGCGTACATTGACAGCACCATATAAGTACCTGAAATACATAAATATATCTAAAAATATATCAGGGGCGGACTGACAACTCATGGGGCAATAGGGGATCATGGGGCCCCTGTGTCCTCATCCACACTCAAACCACACCCAAAAAAAGCCTACAAAAGGTACCAGGGACATCTCATGGGGCCCCCTACTGGCCCCCGGGCCCTCGGGCAGTGCTCGAGTTTCCAAATGGTCAGTCCGCCCCTGATATATATATATATGCAATATTAATTTTGTATGAATGTGAGTTAGGGACCGTAGATTGTACGCTCCTCGGGGGCGGGGCCTGACGTGAATGTACAATATATATGTAAACTGTGCCGAACCTGAAATAAATCAAATAAATAATAATGTTTTTCGATCTCTCCGTATTTGTGGCGTCTCTCCTGAGGCTGCTGTGAGTTGCACAGTGCAGGAAAGAGAAGCCGTGAAACCCAACTGAAAATATAAAAATGAAAGCGTCGCTCAGCACGTGGAGGGGGGGGCCGCGGGGCCGCGGGAGATAGCTGAATGTCAGAAAAACAAATCGGATGGATTAAACGGCATTAGCCGAATATTAGACGCCGTAATTCACACATTAACTTTTAATCATTTTAAAACCTCTAATTTTTCTCGAACCTTGAAAAAAAAAAAGTCACAAAACGAGGGAGAGAGGGAGAGAGAGGGAGAGAGAGGGAGAGGGGAAACATCTGGGAGATGGTCCAGCCATATGTATTCTAATATAATGACTCATGAACGTATATTTGATGTTTTTATTGCAAAATGAATAATGTCTGGAGTCCGGGCCGAGATTTTTCCATCCAGGCTTCTGGAACAATTAAGCTGGAGGGCTTGGTACTAACCAAACGTGTCTGCTCCTGCGACCGGCAATTCCTCAGCTCTTGTCGGTGGATCGCATGTCCTCTCAGGATAACTGCGCAATTCCGCTTTCTTGTTCAGTGATTGTCGGGAAACGCTTTGTTGTCTCCAAGAGGCCCTGTCACCCCGAGAGACAGGAAAGAGAAGAAAGTGCAATTCCTCCTCTGGGATCACATCTAGGCGGGTGCGGCGGAGGCACTTTTCTCGGTGCGTTTTGTGTTTTTGAACACATGGTTTTGACACCTTTTTTTGACTCCACTGACCTCCATTCAGTGTCCTCCACCCCTCTCTGCCAATCCCTCCACTGGCCTCCACTCAGTGTCCTCCACCCCTCTCTGCCAATCCCTCCACTGGCCTCCACTCAGTGTCCTCCACCCCTCTCTGCCAATCCCTCCACTGGCCTCCATTTAGTGTCCTCCACCCCTCTCTGCCAATCCTCCACTGGCCTCCACTCAGTGTCCTCCACCCCTCTCTGCCAATCCCTCCACTGGCCTCCACTCAGTGTCCTCCACCCCTCTCTGCCAATCCCTCCACTGGCCTCCATTTAGTGTCCTCCACCCCTCTCTGCCAATCCCTCCACTGGCCTCCATTCAGTGTCCTCCACCCCTCTCTGCCAATCCCTCCACTGGCCTCCATTCAGTGTCCTCCACCCCTCTCTGCCAATCCCTCCACTGGCCTCCATTTAGTGTCCTCCACCCCTCTCTGCCAATCCCTCCACTGGCCTCCATTTAGTGTCCTCCACCCCTCTCTGCCAATCCCTCCACTGGCCTCCATTCAGTGTCCTCCACCCCTCTCTGCCAATCCCTCCACTGGCCTCCACTCAGTGTCCTCCACCCCTCTCTGCCAATCCCTCCACTGGCCTCCATTTAGTGTCCTCCACCCCTCTCTGCCAATCCTCCACTGGCCTCCACTCAGTGTCCTCCACCCCTCTCTGCCAATCCCTCCACTGGCCTCCACTCAGTGTCCTCCACCCCTCTCTGCCAATCCCTCCACTGGCCTCCATTTAGTGTCCTCCACCCCTCTCTGCCAATCCCTCCACTGGCCTCCATTCAGTGTCCTCCACCCCTCTCTGCCAATCCCTCCACTGGCCTCCATTCAGTGTCCTCCACCCCTCTCTGCCAATCCCTCCACTGGCCTCCATTTAGTGTCCTCCACCCCTCTCTGCCAATCCCTCCACTGGCCTCCATTTAGTGTCCTCCACCCCTCTCTGCCAATCCCTCCACTGGCCTCCATTCAGTGTCCTCCACCCCTCTCTGCCAATCCCTCCACTGGCCTCCACTCAGTGTCCTCCACCCCTCTCTGCCAATCCCTCCACTGGCCTCCACTCAGTGTCCTCCACCCCTCTCTGCCAATCCCTCCACTGGCCTCCATTCAGTGTCCTCCACCCCTCTCTGCCAATCCCTCCACTGGCCTCCATTCAGTGTCCTCCACCCCTCTCTGCCAATCCCTCCACTGGCCTCCACTCAGTGTCCTCCACCCCCCTCTGCCAATCCCTCCACTGGCCTCCACTCAGTGTCCTCCACCCCCCTCTGCCAATCCCTCCACCGACCTCCACTCGCCCAACAAATAAAATTCAAAATACTAACAACAATTTACAAAGCCATCCACAAATCTGCCCCCGGGTACATCACCAACCTGGTCTCAAAATATCAACCAAACCGTTCTCTTCCATCCTCCCAAGACCTTCTGCTCTCTAGTTCCCGTGTCACCTCCTCCTATGCTGGCCTCCAGGACTTCTCCCGAGCTTCGCCCATCCAATGGAACTCCCTACCCGAATCTATCCGACTGTCTCCTAATCTATCCACCTTTAGACGATCCCTGAAAACCTTTCTCTTTAACTGATTCCCATCCGCCCTATAGCAGGAATACTGCCACAGGGCGGCACAAGTGCGCAAAATCACGTACATATATACGTGATTTTGCATTTCCGGGTAGGGGGGGGCGCGCACGGGCATTGGCTGTCAATCACCAGGCCCTGGACGGTAATTACTCGCTGGCGCCCGGTGATTTCCAACGATCACCAATGGGGAGGAGGACTGTTTTGTTTATTAACAAACTCCCTGTCGGCTGCAAAGCACAACCATCCAATACTACATTATGGCCACCAGATGGCGCTGATGATCATAGGAAGTCACTGTATTATGGAAGAACTCTAATTACGGGGAATACAGTTCCTTGTTGTGACAGTGATTTCCTATAATCGTCAGCTCCATCTAGTGGCCATAGTGCGGTATTTTTCCCGATGAATGTATTTCAGGAAAATACCACATTATGGCCACCAGATGGCGTTGGTGATCATAGGAAGTCACTGTATTAAAAAAGAGCTCTAATTGCGGGGAATAAAGATGCTCATTGCGGCAGTGATTTCCTATCATCGTTGGCTCCATCTAGTGGCCATAGTGCAGTATTTTTCCTGATTATTGTACTTCAGGAAAATATCACATTATGGCCACTAGATGACGCTGATGATCATAGGAAGTCTGTGTATTGAAGAAGAGCTATCCCTCTTCTCCTTTACAGCAAAGCAAGCTGCCATCTTATCCTCTGTGTGATCTGCAGTTGCCATGGTGCTGCACATGTGATCAGTTTTGACGCCAGGGATTGGATGGCTTCACAGTTGGGTTGAAAGCACGAGAAATTGTTTTTGGGAATAAATGAAATTGATGGGTTTAGTTCAGCTTTAAGTCAAATACGGCCAGAATTCATTAAGGATGGGGGAATGCTCGTCACATTCGTCCAACAAACGTTTTATACATAGATGCTGCCTGGACTGTACAGAAATACACGGCTCAGAAAAAATGGAAGGAAGACTTTGTAATCCGAGTTGTATCAAGTCCATGACACTCCCGGGATATTGATCCGGTCAGGTAAGCAGCAGGGGGGGTTGTTCATCAGTTTCAGCTGCTTTGGTGTTAATGAAATGACCAAACAGGTGCACTAGATGGGCAACAATGAGACGACCCCCAAAACAGGAATGGTTTTACAGGTGGAGGCCGCTGACATTTTTTTCCTCTACTCATCTTTTCTGACTGTTTTTTCTCTAGTTTTGCATTTGGCTCGGGTCAGTGTCACTACTGGTAGCATGAGGCCATACCTGGACCCTACAGAGGTTGCACAGGCAGTCCAACTCCTCCAGGATGGCTTATCAATACGTAC